TCGTAGAGCCAGAAACGAATATGCACAGGTAAGAAGGGAGGCCCAACGACAATATGAAAACGACATAGCAGCGAAAGCCAAATCTGACCCGAAACTGTTATACAGCCACATCAGGAGGAAAACAACAGTCAAGGACCAGGTAATCAGGCTAAGGAAGGAAGGAGGAGAGACAACAAGAAATGACCATGAAGTATGTGAGGAACTCAATAAGAGATTCAAAGAAGTGTTCACAGAGGAGACAGAAGGGGCTCCAGAAAGACGGAGAGGTGGGGCACACCACCAAGTGCTGGATACACTGCACACAACCGAGGAAGAAGTAAAGAGGCTTCTGAGTGAGCTAGATACCTCAAAGGCAATGGGGCCAGATAACATCTCCCCATGGGTCCTGAGAGAGGGAGCAGAAGTGCTATGTGTACCCCTAACAACAATATTCAATACATCTATCGAAACAGGGAGATTGCCTGAGGCATAGAAGACAGCAAATGTAGTCCCAATCTTTAAAAAAGGAGACAGACATGAAGCACTAAACTACAGACCAGTGTCACTGACATGTATAGTATGCAAAATCATGGAGAAGATTATCAGAAGAGTGGTGGAACACCTAGAAAGGAATGATCTCATCAACAGCAGCCAACATGGTTTCAGGGATGGGAAATCCTGTGTCACAAACCAACTGGAGTTCTATGACATGGTGACAGCAGTAAGACAAGAGAGAGAGGGGTGGGTGGATTGCATATTCTTGGACTGCAAGAACGCGTTTGACACAGTTCCACACAATAGATTAGTGCAAAAACTGGAGGACCAAGCAGGGATAACAGGGAAGGCACTACAATGGATCAGGGAATACTTGTCAGGAAGACAGCAGCGAGTCATGGTACGTGGCGAGGTATCAGAGTGGGCACCTGTGACCAGCGGGGTCCCACAGGGGTCAGTCCTAGGACCAGTGCTGTTTCTGGTATTTGTGAACGACATGACGGAAGGAATAGACTCTGAGGTGTCCCTGTTTGCAGATGATGTGAAGTTGATGAGAAGAATTCACTCGATCGAAGACCAGGCAGAACTACAAAGGAATCTGGACAGGCTGCAGACCAGGTCCAGCAATTGGCTCCTGGAGTTCAATCCCACCAAGTGCAAAGTCATGAAGATTGGGGAAGGGCAAAGGAGACTGCAGACGGAGTACAGTCTAGGGGCCAGAGACTACATACCTCACTCAAGGAAAAAGATCTTGGGGTGAGTATAACACCAGGCACATCTCCTGAAGCACACATCAACCAAATAACGGCTGCAGCATATGGGCGCCTAGCAAACCTCAGAACAGCATTCCGACATCTTAATAAGGAATCGTTCAGGACCCTGTACACCGTGTACGTTAGGCCCATATTGGAGTATGCGGCACCAGTTTCGAACCCACACCTAGCCTGGTCACAGACCGGGCCGCGGGGGCGTTGACCCCCGGAACTCTCTCCAGGTAAACTCCAGGTCTCCAGGTAGCCAAGCATGTAAAGAAACTAGAGAAAGTGCAAAGGTTTGCAACAAGACTAGTCCCAGAGCTAAGAGGTATGTCCTACGAGGAGAGGTTAAGGGAAATCAACCTGACGACACTGGAGGACAGGAGACATAGGGGGGACATGATAACGACATACAAACTACTGAGAGGAATTGCCAAGGTGGACAAAGACAGGATGTTCCAGAGATTGGACGCAGTAACAAGGGGACACAGTTGGAAGTTGAAGACACAGATGAATCACAGGGATGTTAGGAAGTATTTCTTCAGTCACAGAGTAGTCAGTAAGTGGAATAGTTTGGGAAGCGATGTAGTGGAGGCAGGATCAATACATAGCTTTAAGCAGAGGTATGATAAAGCTCACAGTTCAGGGAGAGTGACGTAGTAGCGACCAGTGAAGAGGCGGGACCAGGAGCTCGGACTCGACCCCTGCAGCCTCAACTAGGTGAGTACACACACACACACACAGGAGAAAGATCTTGGGGTGAGTATAACACCGAGCATGTCTCCGGAAGCACACATCAACCAGATAACTGCAGCAGCATATGGGCGCCTAGCAAACCTGAGAATAGCGTTTCGATACCTCAGTAAGGAATCGTTCAAGACACTGTACACCGTGTACGTCAGGCCCATACTGGAGTATGCAGCACCAGCTTGGGACCCACACCTGGTCAAGCACGTCAAGAAATTAAAGAAAGTGTAAAGGTTTGCAACAAGGCTAGTTCCAGAGCTAAGGGGAATGTCCTACGAAGGAAGGTTAAGGGAAATCTGCCTGACGACACTGGAGGACAGGAGGGTTAGGGACAAAATACTGCGAGGAATAGATAAGATGGACAAGACAGGATATTCCAGAGAGAAGACACAGAAACAAGGGGGTCACAATTGGAAGCTGAAGACTCAGATGAGCCAAAGGGATGTTAGGAAGTATTTCTTCAGTCATAGAATTGTCAGGAAGTGGAATAGCCTGGCAAGTGATGTAGTGGAGGCAGGAACCATGAATAGTTTTAAGACGAGGCCAGGAACTGAGTCTCGACCCCTGCAACCACAATTAGGTGAATACACAAGTCTCGGCCATAAAAAAATTCATTTAGATTGTTGACCCTTAGTCTGATTAACGGCTTACTGAACGCTGAGTCATATTGGGACTAGTATCTCACTCACTTCTTTGCTGTCATCTGTGTAAGTCCCATCTTGTTTAAGCAGGAGCCCAATACTGGTGGTTGTTTTTGCTCTAGATTTGGTATAAGAAGTATTTTATTTATTTTTTTTTTCAGTTTCGTTGATGGCTTTAAGTTCTTTCTGTGTTTCTTGTCTCTTGTATGATTCCTTAAGCTTATATTTGATATTTGCTATTTCTCTGACCAGTGCCTCCTTCCGTATTTCAGATATACTGGCTCCCTATACAGGCCTTCGCTAGTATAGGGAGTGTCTCTTTCTAGTTTATATCTTCGTTTTTCTTAAAGGAATGTGCCTTGAGCATACCTCAAGTGCCACGCAGTTAATTCTTTCTGGGCAACAGTTCGAGTCCGTGTTGTTTACGATATCTAACATGATATCAAACACACACACACACACACACACACACACATACACACAGGTGTTATTCGCGGCTGTGTGTTGTTGGGAGGTATTGGCTCGCCCCAGGGCGGGTTGCGACCTCCTTGCCTGCTCAGGGTCGCATAAAAATAACATGAATGTCTGTTACCGAGCGAAAAAATAGCGTAAAAGTCTGGCGGGGGATTTTTACGGTAAGGAAAATTGACGATCCTCAGCAGAGTCGTTCGTTTTGGCTGGAAAATGGCTTCGCAGTGTGGGCAGTGGGCAGGGGCGTCGTAAGGGGGGGGGGGGACGAGCCGCCCCGGGTGACACCATTTACGGGGTGACACCATAGAGCCTCTAAAGAGGGTAACACTAATGACCAAAACCATGCTGCAGCAACCTAAGAGAAAAATCCTTCGTTTCTATATAGCCTATTATAGGATTACAGAGTACAAATAGGCCTATATAGGGAAAATCATTGATTTTGATGATGTGATAGATGATTTTGCAGGAATGAAGGCAAGGAAGTGAAATATCAGATTCTTTGAGATGTTACGTGTACTCAAGGTTAAATCGGAACTAGTTTTTTCTTTATTTTTCGTTTTTTTTTCATTGTTGAAGATGAATAAATGTAGGATCTGTTGCCTATACTCAGAGTGGTATTTGAGTTTATTTTTCCGCAGTATTATTACGATTATTTATTTTATCATTAATAAAATTCGGTTTATGGCCTTTAAACGTTATCATTGCTAAACATCAGTCACTGGTCATGAAGCAGTGATGTGACTGAAGTTTACTACCGCTATCCCACCGACCTTGGATTTCATGGGGGTGGCACCAAAGATGCTGCCCCGGGTGACACCAACCCTACCGACGCCTCTGGCAGGGGGCAGTGGGTAGTAGATAGAGGTGGTGGGTAGTAGACAACACAAATAACACACACACACATAAACAACACATGCACAAGAACACACACACACACATACACAAACATGAGCAACATACACACACGGGGCGGGGCCAGGAGGTGTAACTTGACCTCTGCAATCACAAATAGGTAGGAACACACACACTAATTATATATATATATATATATATATATATATATATATATAATATATATATATATATATACATATATCAATAAGAACACTGCGACTAGCCAAGGACTCGAGCCCATGTTGCTTTGGCCCGCCTCATGGCGAGCGAAAACCACATGATGCTCTAACCCACAGGACCACCAAATCCTACAAGAATCACGCACTCATTCTAGGCACCTAAAGTCAATATTTGACCAGCCGGACTGTGGTTTTTACGTCGGTTTGCGTGCGGCCAGCAGTAACGGCCTGGTTGATCAGACCCTGATCCACCACGAGGCCTGGTCTCAGACTGAGCCGCGGGGGCGTTGACCCCTGAAACCCTCTAGGTACACTCCAGGTATACCTGGTTCGCATCCAACTTCAAAGATGGAGGAGAACGTAATCTTTGATATGTTGTACTATCACATTCATGTTTGTGCCTTTTAAATACCGTGGCTTATAAGACGCGGCTTACAGACTTGGACTTATTTTAGTTTCATTGGCTCAGCATCGGACGTAACTGGGAGAGCTATAGTCCACCTTCCACCCCAAACTTATAGCTCCCGTCTCTGATCTTCAGCTTATAGGACGCAGGGTGGCTTTTGGAGACATTTTAAAAAACATGCGTCTAATAAACCGCAAAATACATAAATAATCCCTCGCCTCTCTCTCTCTCCTCTCTCTTTCTCTCTCTCTTTACATATATATATATATATATATATATATATATATATATATATATATATATATATATATATATATAATATATATATATATATAATGTGCCGAATAGTAAAATTTTCATTATGTTAAGTAGAAATTAATATCTGTACCAAAAAAAAATTAGAAAACTTACCTAACCTTATTAAAAAACGCAATTTAATTTAGCCTAATCCAACTAAATATATTTTAGATAAGTTTACAATAATTTTATGATAAACAAACACAATGAATTATTTTTTTTTAGTTAGGTTCAGAATGATTTTTCGCGAAATTATTGCATACACAAATTTTCGCTTGCCTTATTCGGCAAGAAGAGCGTTGCTATTTAAGCCAAAAATCACAAATTTTACACTGCAGTAGCCAAGGATTCGAACCCATGCTGCTTCGGCCCGCCTCATGGTGAACGAAAACACATGAGCTTTAGACCATTATTAAGGATTGTGTAGGCTAGTGGTCTAAAGCGTCACATCTTTTTGCTTACCATGAGGCGGGCCCAAGCAGCATGGGTTCGAATCCTTGGCTAGTGCAGTGTTGTTATTGATAGAGTAAGTTACTAAATACTGTAAAGAATTTTTATGAGGATAGTGAGGCTCGGGTTAGGGTGTGTAGGAGAGAGGGAGATTATTTTCCAGTAAAAGTAGGTCTTAGACAGGGATGTGTAATGTCACCATGGCTGTTTAACATATATTTAACGTACATATGTAGATAGGGTTGTAAAAGAATTAAATGCTAGGGTGTTGGGGAGAGGGGTGGGATTAAATTATGGGGAATCAAATAGAGTATGGGAGTTGACATAGTTACTTTTTGCTGGTGATACTGTGCTTTTGGGGGATTCTAAAGAAAAGTTGCGAAGGTTAGTGGGCGAATCTGGGAGGGTGTATAAAGGTAGAAAGTTGAAAGTGAATATAGATAAGAGTAAGGTGATAAGGGTATCAAACGATTTAGATAAAGAACAATTGGATATCACATTGGAGGGAGGGAGTATGGAAGAAGTGAATGTTTTCCAGATATTTGGGAGTGAACTTGTCAGCAGATGGGTTTATGAAGGATGAGGTTAACCATAGAATTGATGAAGGAATACAGGTGAGTGGTGCGTTGAGGTGTCTGTGGAGCAAGGAACGTTATCCATGGAGGCAGGGAAGGGAATGTACGTGAGTGTAGTGGTACCAACACTCTTGTGTGGGTGTGAAACATGGGTTGTGAATGCTTCTATTTTTAGTTAGCTTAGAATTGTTAAAGCTACGGCAATGTTGCTTATTTTCTATTAGATGAGTAATCTAGTGTTTCCTCTTATTACTGTCGCTGAAGATCAGTATCAGCGACCTTTTTTATTTCATCTTCTTCGTGCTGAGTCTAAATATCATATCGTTGACTCCCTTTGTCGTCCAAAACAGGCAAGAAGTCGTAAAGTACACCAAGAGCCCAGTGTCTACAACAGGGATGGCAGTGATCTGAGTGATGGAGAAGTAGCAAGCAACGAACGCAGCGCACCGGACAGCCTCTGCCAGTGGTGCCCACACCCACCCGTCAAACATGGCCGTCAGCACGCCCACAGACACGAATATGAAGATCAGCATCGATAGCATTATACCCAGTGAGCCCTGTAAGTAGAGACATTGTTACTTTATATTTTAAGAGTTTTTCACAATTTGTATTATCCTTATTATTAGTAGCAGTAAAGTATATAATCATAGACACAAAACACAGAGACTCGCAATAAAAAATAAACTAAACTGTTCGATTTTGTTAGGTTATCCTTAGCTGAATATTCATAATTGTATCATCATTGTCTGCCTATAATAACGTACCTAATGCAAATGTTCTACATGTATTAAACAACAGTCCGATGGAGCATGACAAAAAACCCATCCAGTACTCACCAAGTTGAACTCAGTTGTGTTAACAGGGATAGGTTCGAGGCTCCTGACCCCACCTTTTAACTTATCGACCGATTTCACTGATTTCTGGCCTCCAGCACCCGATCATATTTACTCTTGAAGTATAGTATTCGCCTCTACCATCCAGTATTAGCTACGTTAAAACTTACAGACATCTTGGTGTAAATGTACCCTTTAACAAATCCACTATACCACAACTAAATAAGAAATGCAAAGATAGGCTAAATGCTCTCAAAGCTGTTGCTGGCTACAACCCCAACTATGGTGCTAATGTGAGAATCGTGAGAATGATGTACATAGCCTATCTTAGGTCCTTAATTGATTATGCTGCTCCCATGTTGATATTAGCTAGAGAAATTTCTCTCCGACCCTTGGAGTTAATGCAAAATGAAGCTCTCAGAATTATTCTTGGCTGTCCCAAATCTACAAAGGTTCTTAACATGAGGAAGAGCTTGATATTTCTAGTATCAGTGATAGGATTGTTGAGATTAACACTGTACTCGGTATTAGAATGTTAAGAAATTACCAAGACACTGTCACAATGAATCTTACTGTCTCGAAGTAAATACACACAGATCTAAATGGATTGTGAAAGCGTGCAGTTGCATTAAGTTTTATAACCTGCATGAACTGTATTACTGCAGACAAACAAGAGCATTTCACCCCTCCATGGAAGATGTGTTTATTTAATATTACATACCTGTAAGCCCCTCCCAAGAAGCTCATTGCTAGTAATCCCTTCCTTAAATCACTTGTTAAAGCAACTGCTCAAGAAGAAATTTCTCGCCTAGCTGTTAGTAATAAGTTATCACAAGTTATATACACTGATAGATCTAAACAGGAGTCTTCTGGCAGGGCTGCATCTGCTCTTGTTGCCACCTCCCTAGTTAAGAACGATAATAAACTTTTGAACTAGGCATAAGAATTAACAACTGGGTGTCTACATTGCAAACTGAATTGTTTGCAATCCTAATGGCGCTAAAGCTAACTTATGACACTGAGCTTGACAGTATCATCATTACTGATTCTATGTCATCACTGAATGCTCTTGATTCATATAATAACTCCAGCAACGTGCTCATTGGAGAAGCCAGGTATAGATACTAAAAAATCAGGGACAAAGGAATTAATGTAAATTTGCTATGGATCCCATCACACATTGGATTACTCCTTCATGATAAAGTTGATATGTAAGCCAAGAAGAGTACCCAGAAGGAGAATGTAGAATATAACTTTGGTATATCTGTGTCTAGCATTAGGAATAATATTAAGAGAGAAGTAAATAATGAAAATGATTGTTATAGGAATGCAGTTAGAAGCCTGAGTATATCAATAACCCACTATGATAACATGAACGTAGATATGTATGTTTACGTAGCAACTTGCAATGTGAACAGACTGACTGATGTTGTAGTGGCCAGGCTAAGGCTGGCAGTTTGGGAGACACACAGATGATGATCAATCTAAATGCAAATTATGTGATCAGGCATTTGGTCACTGTCTTGAACACTATGTGCTTAATTGTCCACCTATTGAGGAATACGGAAATAGTATAATAACCTATGTGACAGTCAAGATATCTTATTAATAAACCATACCCGCGGGTTCTATCCCCGCCCGTGGTATGGTTTGTTTGCAATCGTGTCATTACGATTTCGTGAGTTATCTTATTAATGAAAATAAAATACCAGATATACTAAGCAAATTTCCTAAATTTGCTTGTAACAGATAAGTAAACTGTAGATATGCAGATATAAATCCGTATGTACACCTGTTAACCTTTTTGGGGCCTAGTTCCTAGGTCTTTTGTGTATCTATATGCTCTTGCGCTATCGTCCACAGGATGGATATGAGGTGCACAATAAACTAACCACTTCTGTGGCAAAATCTAAACAAATCTAACCATCCAGTATCATGGAATATGTCAAGGAAAACCATCCAGTGTGATGGAATGTGTCAGGAAACCCATCCAGTACAATGAAATATGATAGTAAACTCATCCTGTATGATGGAATGTGACGCCAAACCTAACTTGTGTGGTGGAGAAATGACGGAACACCATATGGTAAAAAACAAATATGATATAATACCGACAAGATGAAGATACACTTGTAGGAGTAGTAAGCTTGGATAACGAACCCTTCACCGTCTTCAAGGCGCCGCTTTTGAAAGGTTAGCAGTCGTGCGCTAGCGTAGAGAGACAGAGAAAGGAAAGATAAAACTTAAATCTCGTGACAGTATCTGACCATGTATTTAGCCACCATCAGCTGCTGAGCCAGGAACGTCAACGTCATGTGCGACGCAATGTACAGAAGCATTCCCTGTGATATCCGAGGGTTATATTTGATTCTGGGGGCCTTGACATCGATGAAGGTGCTAGGGTCTCCAAGGCGGGGCAACCCTGGGGCCCAACCTGGACCATAGAACAAGGCCTTCAGTGAGTCTCCCCAGGTGGTCATGCTCCTCGCCTTGCGGTACACTTCCACGAAGTAGTAGACCTGCAGAGGAAACATAACTCAGGAAATACTACTTAATACATGGACGATCAAGCCTCCACCACTCCTTTTGGTTAAAAACCCACACGGTTTTACCGCTTCGTCATTAATATTTACAAAGCTAATACTAATTCATTTACTGCAAGCTGATCTGAAAAATATAATGTACAAAATGGCTCATGATACACTGTGCTATGCCCTTAAGAGGCTCTTGATCCAAGGCATCGGAGTTTCCCATCCCCTTCCTTTGATCAAACTTGATTGTCCCTCATTCCCCAGGATTTGTATAATCCGTACGTGTCTAGCACTTCCCCATGACTATATTGATAACACAGTGCTCTAATAATAAGAAAATCACCTAATTAGTAATAAATACTGAGCTGTAATTACATGCGTTATAATAATGCTTGTTTAGAGTATCCTAGTGTTGATGGCATGCCAATTTATTGGGACCGTTCTGCAGATTAGATGTCAGGAGAAATAATAATAATAATAATAATAATAATAAGAAGAAGAAGAAGAAGAAGAAGTCGAAATAAAGCATCGTATCACTTTTTGTCACATCAGAAAGCGCTTCATCGGTGACTGAAAAGCGTTTGGACGAACCTCTCTTCAGCACTTCTGTAAATGATAAATATATAATAGAAAAACTTCTGCATATAAGAAGCAATTTATTTTATTGTATATAAGAAAAAAGAAATTTATTTTATTATATATGATAAAGAAGTAAATTATTTTATTGTACTGAGAAAGAATTTTTTTCTGTAGTATGAGAAAGAAGTTATTTTATTGTATTTAAGAAGTAAATTATTTTATTGTACTGAGAAAGAATTTTTTTCTGTAGTGGGTGAAGAAAAAGTTATTTATTGTATTTCAATGAAGATTATTGTTATATTTATTCATTTGATTTATTTATTTATATTTTGCATATAGTAATTGAATTTTGTATTTACAATAGATGTTTCAATTGCGAAAGATGACCATCTATTAAGCAAATAGATTAGGCCAATTAAAATCATTATTGGCTTACATACTACTTAACACAAGGATTATATCAATAGTTGTCAGTAGATAGTGATGTAATTCATAGTGTGTACATAGATTATTAATTAGTTAAGTGAATCGTAATTTTAAGAGACAAAAGATATTCCATATATTCAAAAATCTTTTGTGAAAACCCTATTTTGCATTATTATAATTCCTTATCACAATGGATAGAACGGTATCAAAAAGTTGATGTGTTGAGGTTTAAGTGTGGGAGACATAAGTAGTTAGTGTGGTATGAGTATTTCTGTATTTATCTGGGTGATTAGTGGCTTTTGAAAGAGATCTTAAATTGAGTTTCAGACCGAGTTACTTTAATATCTTCAGGTAATGAATTCCATATTTTGGGGCCCTTTATGTGCATAGAGGTTTTACAGAGTGATGTGGACACGAGGTACATCAAAAAGAGATCTGTATCTTGTGTTATGGTCATGTGTCCTCTTAAGGTTGGTGAGGAGAAGTTTGAGTGGAGGGTTTATATTTGCGTGTATTGTTCTGTGTATGTAGTAGGCACATGAATAAGTATGGATATTCTTAATGGTGAGCAGATTCAGACTTTTGAAAATTGGTGGAGGAGTATGCTGGCAGGAGTGGGAATTTGTTATCATTCTTACTGCTACCTTTTGCTGAGTTATTAGAGGTTTTAGGTGACTGAATGTTGTTGATCCCCATGCACAAATTCCATATGTAAGATAAGGGTATATGAGTGAATGGTACAGTGCCAGGAGAGCTGATTGTGGAACGTAGTACCTTATCTTTGATAGTATGCCTACAGTCTTAGAGATTTTCTTGGTGATTTGTTGTATGTGTGTCTGGAATTTTAGGTTACTGTCAAGGTGGATACCGGATACATAGGAATTTTCCCTCTGTAAGTCTTGTGGCTGATGATCCGTTTAGCGTTAAGTTAATTGGATCATTTGTAGCTTTGTTTTCAAACTAAATGAAATAGGTTTTATCAGTATTCAGGGTAAGTTTATTAGTCATCATCCAGGCAAATATTTTCTGCAATTCGGCATTGACTGTGTTTGCTAGTATGACTGTGTGGGAAAAGACATATGTAGTGTCATCTGCAAATAATATGGGTTTGAGTAGCTGTGATGCATTCGGTAGATCATTGATGTAGATGAGAAAGAGGAGTGGTCCAAGGACACTTCCTTGTGGGACTCCTACAGTGATTGGTTGGGTGGAAGAGTTTGCATCATTTTCATACACATATTGAGTTCTGTTACTAAGGTATGATTTTAGGTAGTTAAGGGAGTAGCTTCTGATACCATAGTGCGTTAATTTGGAGTACAGCAGTTCATGGTCGACTGTATCGAAAGCTTTACATAAATCAATGCACTATATATATATTAGTTATAGCATGTGTATGATAGCATCATTTGTGCTTTTATTATTCCTGAATCCAAACTGACAAGGGTTTAATATGTTGTGTGAGACGAGGTAGGAATGGATCCGTCTATGAATTAATTTTTCAAAGATTTTAGAGAGCAGTGGTAAGTTAGATATTGGTCTATAGTTATTCAAGTCAGCTTGGTCACCTCCTTTATGGATCGGAGTGACCCTCGCTATTTTGAGGATTGTTGGGAAGGTAGATGATTCAATGGATTTGCTAAAGAGCGTTGCAATAATTACCTGGAGTTTTTACCTGGAAAGTTTCGGGGTCAACGCCCCGCCGTCCTCGGCTGTGACCAGCCTCCTAATTGGTGACAATACTTAGAAGCTTTTTGTACTAAAAGCAGGCAGTTGTTTATGTCTCCTGCCTTGTTTTTTAGGTGTTTATGATGAGCGTAAAAATTCTATTGGGTTGGTTGGAGCTAGGAATAGCGTATTTGGGTATGTACCTATGAGGTAGTAATGACTGGGGGTTTGCGCTTGGTGTTTTGTTCGCTAGATTTTTTCCTATGTGGAGAAGAAAACATTGATCTGTTGCGTTTTAGTTAGTGTGAGTAGGATTCAAACTGTTTTTGTTAGTTTGAATTTTTTGTTTTTGGACAACTTTTTGTTCCAAGAATTTCAGATAGCGTTTTCCAGGTGTTTTTCATATCACCTTTGATGTTATGTATCTATTTTTCATAATACATTTTTTAGATCTTCTTTTCAGGCTGTAAGTGCTGACGATTAAAGTTTAGACTTTCTCTAATTATCGACCCATTCTATACTGTTTTTTCAAATTTGTGCTTTGTGTTAATGGATTTGAGGATGCTTGGTGTTAGCCAGGGATTATTCAGTCTCTTTGCTGTGGTCTGTTTAGTTTTTTGGGGGCAATGTTTATTATAGAGGCTTTGGGCTATTTTTAGAAAATTATTTATACATTCATATCTGTATATGTGTCGAGCTCATTTTGCCAATCGATGTTATTCATAGCTGCTGTAAAGTTGTTACCTGCTGTCTCGTTATGTAGTCTGAAGGTTATTTTAGTAATGTCTTGTGGCAGTTTGCCCAGATTAGTTTTGAGAAAGGTTGGGTAGTGGTCTGATTATGCCTGATTTTAAAGGGGATATGGTGTTTGTCCAGATGTGGTCTATTAAGGAGATGCTTGTGTCGGTGATTGTTGTAGGTTTAGATATTGCTGGTAACAACAAGCAGTTGCTCATTGTGTTTGTGAATTCGGTTACTTGTGGGTCCTGGTCGTGTAGTATGTTTATGTTGGAATCTCCTGTATCATGTAACATGTAAACTTGTATCCTGTATCATGTAACATGTAAACTTGTAAAGGACTTGAGACATAATTGATGCAAAGTATATTTGTTATACATCGTGAAGTGTGTCCATGTATATATGCTGAGAGTTTAATGTCATCCGTATTTTAGGCTGGTGAACAAGTTACGTGTAGTCGACAGGCTTTAATTCTTAAGGAGAATGTCTCCGTACACTGGTCTTTGCTAAGTGGTGACCCGTGAAGCATCCGCTGGCCTATCTGAGAATCGCCACATACTAATGTTCCAAGTGACGAACATCTGGAAAGAGGGTATCATACTTGCACATCCAGAGGTGAAAAAAATGTGAAAACAAACCTCATGCCACAGTGCGTTGTGGGTCTGTGGCTGCTTAGTCAGACCGTACACAATCTCTTCGTTATCTTTCTCAGGCTCAAAGGTACCAAAAATCCGGTCCCAGATGACAAATACACTGCCATAGTTCTTATCCAGACACCACTTGTTGGCTCCTGTCGACACATAATTAATCATAGTAATGGATTTAAAATAGCACGTTTAACAAATCATATTAATGTTACTGATTATTTTTGTAAATAGTTGATTAGTACTGTGACTTAAGTAGCGAATGTATGGGCCCAGTCCCTGGACCCATTATGCGCCTCTAATCTTTGACTACCGACCACAAGATTGCTGTGAGGTACAGTAACTACTACCCACGGGATGTGTATTGGGTGACCTCCCCCCCCCCCCACATGATAGGTGCTGGTTGACTACTGCCTATAAGAGGAATATTGTTTAACTACTACTCACAGGCTAAAGTCAGTGCCGGATCAGTCGGGCTGTGGCTCGTACGTTGGACTGCGTGCGGCCAGCAGTAACAGCCTAGTTGATCAGGCCCTGATCCATCGGGAGGCCTGGTCATGGACCGGGCCGCGGGGGACTTGATCCCCGGAATAACCTCCAGGTAACCTCCAAGCTGAGTCAATGCCATAAATATAATCTAGTAATACAGGACACACATTTAGTAACTCTTCAAGTGGTTGTTTATGTTTCAACCCTTCAAGGGGTTCTCTCCCTTCTTGGATAAAAGCTGATTACCCCTCGCCCTCACTTTCCATACGCTGGATTATCCCTACGGGTTCAAATTTGTCACATGATCTGAATAAATCAAGTAACGGAAAGGAAAGTACTTGAATGATGTACTGACTTGTAGAGTAACGAGTTACGTTTGAAAAGTAGAGCAGCTTCCTTGCTCATCTAGCAGTAAATAGCTGCTGCTGTTCATGGGTACTTACTGTTGGGGGGTGGCATCCTTGTGGGTAGTAGTATACCGTAGATAGTACTGGGCTTTGAAATGAGAGGAGGTAGGATGATAGCTCTTAGCCGGGAACTAAATGACACTGCCGATAATAGTGTAGAACATTTCGCTCTGCGTAGAGCTTTATCAAATCATGATTTTATTAAGCTTTGCAAAGTATACATTTTACCAACAAAAAAACAGCAGATGACTTGCCATGATGTACTCGGTGGAAGGAAGGCGTCATGAAAACCCAGCCTATTGGGCCTAGGCTGCCAATATACTTCGTGTGTACCCAAAACTGAAACAGGTAGTTGAAAGCGATGTGGACGGAGACGGTGGGCAGCGGGAAGCCTATTAGAGCTAGAGGATGGTAGAAACCAAAATGAGCAACCCGCTGCAGCACGGAGAGACGCACTGCCGTCGCAAAGTTAAAGTCCTCGTCAGAATGATGAATCTGGTGCACTGCCCACAGGATGTTCAATTCTGATCGTAGGGGGGAAAACAAGCGAGTTGGGTAGTGACAAGTGATATGTTAGTACTGTTAAAGGTCTTCCAACTTTAATTTTTTAAATTAAAAAATATTGCACTTACCAACAATAGTTGCATCTCTTTATGACGCATACATATTTAGCGCTTTTTTTATTAACACATGGGCCGTTTCCCACCGAGGCAGGGTGATCCCCCCCTCAAAAAAAAAAAGTTTCATCATCTTTCACTTCATCACTGTCTTGCATGAGGCGTGCTAACACCTCAGGCAAGACAGAGCGTAGGCCGTAGGCACTGTACTTCCCATGTCCAATATTCAAGTCCGGATTACCAGTTTCCCTGACTTCCTTCATAAATGTTACTTTGCTCACATTCTAACAACACGTCAAATCATAAAAGCCATTTGCCTCCACGCTCTCCTATCTAACACGTTCATGCAGGCCTGCTGGAAATCTAAGCCCCTCACACACAAAACTTTTACCCCCCTCCCTCCAACCCTTCATAGGACGACCTCTCCCACACCTTCCACTACGGATTTATACACCCTCCAAGTCATTATTTTGTTCCATCCTCTCTAAATGTCCGAACCATCTTAACAACCCCTCCTCAGGCCTCTGGATAATACTTTTAGAAACCCTGCACCTCCTTATCTCCAGGCTACGGATTCGCTGCATAATATTCACACCGCACATTGCCCCCGGACACATCTCCACTGCTTCAGCCTCCTCGTTGCAACATTCACCACCCATGCTTCACACCCATGTAGAGCGTTGGTACCACTATAATCTCATACATTCCCCTCTTGGCTTCCATGGAGAGCGTTATTTGCCTACACAACTCCTCAGTGCACCATTCACTCTTTTTCCCCTTATCAGTCCTATAATTCACTTCGTCTTTCATAAACCCATCTGCTGACAAGTCCACTCCCAAATAGCTGAATATTCACATTCACTTCCTCCATACTCCCTCCAATCTGATATCCAGTCTTTCATTGCCTAGATGTCTTGTTATCCTCATCACCTTCCTCTTTCCTGTGTTTACTTTTAATTCCCTTCTGCATACCCTTCCAAACTCGTTCATCAACCTTTGCAACTTCTCTTCAGAATCTCCCAAAAACAATGTCATCAGCAGAAAGCAATTGTGACAACCCTACTTTGTGTTAAATTCTTTATCTTTTAATCCCACACCTCTTCCCAAGCATTCACTTATCTTACAACCCCATCTATAAATATATTGAACAACCATGGTGACATCACGCATACCTGTCTAAGGCTTACTTTTACTGGGAAATAATCTCCCTCTTCCCTACATACTCCAAACTAAGCCTCATTATCCTCGTAAAAACTCTTAACTGCTTTCAGTAAACTACATATTTATACACTTGCAACATCTGCCACATTGCTTCTTATCCACCCTGTCCTATGCCTTTTCCAAATCAATAAATGCAACGAAAACCTCTTTACCCTTATCTAAATACTGTTAACTTATATGCTTCATTGTAAATAATTGGTTCACACATCCCCTTACGGAACGTTCCTAAAGCCTCCTTGTTCAGCTGTGATCCTGATCTCCGGCTTACTCTTAATTCTTTCAATAATAAGTCTACCATACACTTCACCAGGTATGCTCAAGCTTATTCCCTTATAATTTTAAACACTTTTGTCCCCTTGGCTAACACCCAGCATCCTCAAATCCATTAACACAAAGCACAAATATGAAAAACAGTATAGAATGAGTTAAATAACTAGATTCACTTATAATTAATAATCTACAGTACAACTATGATATAATTAATATTCTACTGTACAACTATGATATAATTCTTAGTGGTAAGTTGTCTGTAAGCCAATAATGTTAAGTCGGCCCATAATGCCTAGGCATAATAGAGGCTCTCTTTGCTTTGCAACCCATTATTGTAAATACAAAATCTCCATGTACTATTTGCAAAGACATAAATAAATAAATAAATAAATAAATAAATAAATAAATAAACTATGCATACTCTCTTCCAATCCCTAGGTACCTTCCCCTAGCTCATATATTTATTAAATAAACGCACTAACTATTCAAAACTATATCTCCACCTGCTTTTAAACATTTCTGTCTTGATCCCGTCAGTCCCAGCTGCTTCGTCCCCTTTCATTCTACCTACAGCCTCACACATCTCCCCCACACTCACATCTGGCTCTTCCTCACTCCTAAAAGATGTTATACCTCCTTGGCCAATGTATGAAATCACAGTTTCCCTATCTTCAACATTTAACAATTCCCCAGAATATTCCTTCCATCTTCCCAATACCCCCATCTCTCCATCTAATAGCCCTTCTATTTTTAACTGTCAAATTCATTCATTCCCTAGGCTTTCTCAACTTATTAATTTCGCTCAAAAACTTTTTCTTACTCTCACAAAATTTGTTGACAGCATTGCACCCATTCTCTCATATGCTCTTCTTTTACATTCCTTCACTCACTTAACCTCTCTTTTTCTCTCCATGTACTCCTCCTTCCTTATATCACTTCTACTTTGTAAAAACCTCTCCTATGATAACTTTTTCTCTCTTACCTCATCATTCCACCAATCATTCGTCTTCCCTCCCACACTCACCCTCCTATATCCACAAACTTTTAGTGAACACGCTAACACTGCAATCTTAAATCTATCCCATACTTCTCAGCTTCATTGCCTATACTCCACTAGCCTATCTTCCAATAGTTGTTAAGATCTTGTCCTAACTACCTCCTCCTTTAGTTTATAGACATCTCATCAACCCCCTGTTACTTTCTGATGCCAGTCTCCTTGTACCTCGTCTGTCTTTTACTCTCACAGAAGTTACAACTAAAAAATTATATGATACATCTGTTTCCTCTGTATAAACAGGCACATCCTGAAGTCTACCCATCAACCTTTTATCCACCAATACATAGTCTAACAAACTACTGTCATTTTGCTTTATATTATATCTCGTATACTTATCTTTTTTTAAATATGTATTACCTATTACCAAACCTCTTTGTACCCTTTGGCATGGCCGACGCGGCAGGTAGTGTAGCGGGCTAGCTGCGGGATTTTCAAGGATAGTTCCTGGTCAAAGAGGCTGACCAGGTCCCTACTTAACAGAACTCAGTGTGAATGCTTTGAGAAGATACCAGAGCAGCGAACGGACATCCCAGTGCATCGTTTCAGCGTAAATGGTTGAAGTGTTGTGCAGTTTTAAGAGGGTTTGGTGTTGTAGAATCAGGACCAGTCAGCGCCTCCCCCCTCTCCGCTGGGGGGGAGGGGGAGGGCGTGTGTAGTAAACAGTGACCCTCTCATAACGCCTCACCCCTGCCCGACCCCCCCGCACTCACCCACCCAACTCCCAGCGCCACCCCATCTGTTGAGGGTACTTTCTCCCTAACCCACGATGTCAGCGATGGTACTGGCAGCCGCAGGGAGTGCCGGGCTCACAGGAACTTCCACTACAGGGACAGCATCGTGGAGTTCGACAGCGAGGCAGCTGCCAGGTGTGCCACAGGCAGTGTGTACTCAGTTCCTCAAGCTTCAACATCCGTACACACGAGGGCCTGGGATCTTCAATCAACTTGGCGTCCACCAGGACGCTGACATGTCCCTAGGGCAGCTCTCCATCGGGCTGCTAACGGAGTCACTGGCTTCTTGGACCTCTTGGGGAGGGTCGATGGTGCTCGTGCAAGCAGCAGATCCCTGGGCAACTTGCTGCTGTTTTGCAATGGCTGTCTACCGAGGAGAGACAGGCACCTAGCAACATCTGTTGTTGGGGCATTGATGAATTCCCTACTATGTTTGTTAACTGCTCATTACTCTGTAATTTGTCTATGATTGTAATCATGTCAAAACGTGTTTATCATTCATTACCTTTGAAACTTGTCATGATTGTGACCAGCTCTACCTGGAGCTCATTACCTTTGTAAATTCTCATGATTAATGTGTTTATGATTCATTACCTTTGCAATTATTCATGAGTGTGACCAGCTCAACCTGGAGCTCATTACCTTTGTAACTTGGTCATGATTATGACCAGATCTAGTTCATTACCTTTGTAACTTGCTCAGCTATCAAAACTTTGGAGTCCAGTCCCTGGACCAATTATGTACCTCTGTAATCTTTTGACTACCGCCCACAGGATGGGTATGGGGTGCATAATAAACATATTAAACTAAAATTAAACTAACCTCTTTGTATACAAAGTTCAATCAAAGGCCCTCCATTATCATTTACCACTGGCACCCCAAACTTACCTACCACGGTAAGTTTGGGTTGCCACTCCTCTCATTTCCACGTGCATCCAACCTTTATTTTAATCCGCATAATCCTTGAATTTATACATTTATATTCCCTCTTCTTCCATAACTGATCTTTCAACATTATTGCTATTTCTTCCTTAGCTCTCTCGCAGATACTCTTGACCTAATCCCATTTATTTCTCCCCACTGAAACTCCTCTGCCCCCTTCAGCTTTGTTTCACTTAAGAGCCAGGACATCCAACTTCTTTAAATTCATAACACTGGCAATCATCTCTTTCTTATCATCTGCACTACATCCATGCACATTCAAACACCCTAGCTTTATAAAGTTTTTCTAATTTTTAGTAATTTATACAAGAGAAGGGGGTTGCTAGCCCAATGCTTCCGGCATTTTAGTCGCTTCTTACGACAAACATGGCTTACGTGAAAGGAAAAAAAATAAAAGAACAAGCAGTGGGGGACCTACATTCTCGGCCACTGAAGCTTGAACTGTTATGGGGTCACCTTGGCAACCAGCAACGACTAGCATACATGATACTTTAATAACCTTTTAATTTTTATTTTAACTATTATTTTGCATTGAATTTCACTATATTATTAATATTACTATTTTTTTTAGAAAAATCCTTCTCATACAATAGACCCAAAATTTTTAAGGAATGTGGACAAAAGTCTCTTCTGGGGCCCCTCAGGGATTAGGGGCCCTGAAGCTTAAGTTTCATTAGTTTCATAGTAGATCCGTCCCGGAGAACAAGAACTATTAAGAAAAATAGAAAATTCAGTTGGGTGTGTATACATATAGGTATACATGTGTGGGAAATTTGGATAATTTTCCTTTGATTTTAATGTAATAATTGGTAGAGATAATAATGTTTATAAATAATGCAGATGTGTAATGTTAATGTGACTTTTAAAAGGTGATAAGTCACAGGGAACCAACATATTCCCTATTACCTAAATTTGAATAAATATATGTATACAAGATAGGAGAGTGGAAGAAGCAAAGCGAGGAAGATGGAAGACAAACCAGCTGATTCCTGAGCGTTTCTCTAATTTTGTAGTGTCCGTTAGTAACATTATCGGATAATTCAACGCTAACATGTAAGTGAAGAGGACAAACATCTGTAAATATCCAACAAGAAAAGAAAATGGAAGAATCTAATGATTGTACGACAGAAAATGCGACGCGGAAGCTGTAAATTACTACCGCGTACACTACAGTAACTTAGTTGCGCCTCGAAACGTGTGTTACGACCTATGCATCAAGTAAGGTTACTTGATTTTGGCTATTTTCTTATGTAATCTTCCTGCGGGAGGCGTTAGGATAGGCTACCAATGTTATAAATTGGTATGTGTAATAATTTATGTCCTTAATATGAAATATTGTGATTAATAATTGTAACCTAGTAGACAAAACAAAATACTACAATAAATCAAATCCACATAAATCCTTAATTATACAGTCCACTAAATAGTTTTGCTGACGTAAATTTTCATAATAAATATACAGGAACCATATGTTCTAATCCAGAGTCCCAGAGTAGTTGGGGAGCTGGGACGGTGGGCATTGAAGGAGGGACACAGTGACCCCAGTATCCTTGAAGTCCCACAAGTCTCCAGAATACATCAACTTCACTAAGTTACAATCTGGGTTTTATATATTCTTGAGTTCTCATTCGAGTGTGAGTGGAATATTAATTTCGAGATTGTGTTCCTGTGAAATTCCGCAGATGTACATATATGTAGTGTAACGTAAATGTAAGTAGAAATTACAAGACGTATCTGTTCTCTTGCGTGTTTATGAGGCAGAAAGAAAAGACATCAGCTATCCTACCAGTGTGTAAAACAACTACAAGTTTCCGTTTTACACACATTTGGCAGGACGGTAGTACCTCCCTGGGTGTTTCCTGTCTACCAACCTACTACTTATAGCGCTTGTATTTTAGTACAAGCGCTAATTTTAGCACTTGTATCTTAATAATAATAATAATGACAAACGCAAGTTAAACGGTGGACATACCGTGGTTAGCTCGGTGGATCCAGTAGAAACAAAAATCGACAAGAATAAAGGCACCAAACCATGTATAAGGTGAATCCCACGGCAGATCCCACAGTCGATATTGATAGAGCCAGTCGTAGCCTAGCAGCACCACCCAAGATGATATAAACCTGCAGGGAGGCAAAGATAAAGAAAACTACTGTAGCTGCACCTCACAAACAATTTATAAGTTCAAAATTAAAACTGAATGAGGTATGAGTGTATCTAGGGCCATTATCAAGAGAGGCAATTTTTCCCCTAACTTGTGCTGTATCGGGTGTTAATCAATTAATGGATGTCATATCATGGGGAAATAATTGCATTTAAATGTGTGACATTGCTATAAAAATGTATAAATAACAAAGAGAGTTCAGGTACTGGGTCTAAAATTAACCAAACTGTGTGCTGATTGAAGTGATAATATATAACAAAGCCACGTGGGTGGGTAGGTGGGATGTTAGGAAGTATTTCTTTGTCTTTATAGTTCTCAAGAAGTAGAACGACTTGGACAATGGTGTTATAGAATCAGGATCCATACATAGCTTTAAGAAGAGATACGACTGGGTTTTCAAAGCCAGGAAGTGAACACAGTAGCGGCTAGCCAAGAGGCGAGGGGCAGGAACCGAGACTCGACCCCTTGCAACTACATATAGGCGAGTATGTACTTACCCTGTAGCTTCGTGGAGGATGCCAATTCCTAGAGAAGTAGTAGCCTCGTTGAGCCTCTGAGGTTTTCCCCATAGGTAATGCAATGTGAGCTCCAAGACGAAGAAAAACACGAAGAACGGCACTGCCTGAAACATTATGTGTTGCAGAGAAAAACGAGCGGTGTTGCACTGAGAAACATGGGGAGTGTTGCAGAGAAACATAGGCAGTGAAAAACATGGGAAGTGTTGCAGAAAAACAGGCAGTATTGTAGTGAGAAACAGAGTATTGCCGAATGAGAAATATGGACAGTGTTGCAACGAAACATGGGGAGTGTTCCAGGGTAAGAAACATGGGAAGTGCTGTACGGTAAGAAATATGAGCAGTGTTGCATTGAGACACCACTCGGACAACAATTTGAAACAGATGAGAGCTCTAAATATTTCGACTCTTTCAAGGGGAATACTGGTGCGTTGATGCTAGTGCAGAAGGGTCCTTCATCCGAGGAATCGAAGCCATTCTATTCTTCATTGGATCAAACCTGATTACCCCCAGTGCCTCTCATTCCTAATTCTTTATTTTCAAAACATTAAACAACTGTCGTAATGGTTTCTTATTTTGGATCGATTAATAATGTTCACGACACTTTCATACAAGCCTAAACATTACCGCTGCTTAGGCTGTTTTTGTTTTGGTCATTGAGTATAAATAGTCGTATAAATTGCCATAGCCTCTTACAATACAGCACTTGTATTCACCTATTTGTACTCACCTATTTCTGGTTGCAGGGGTCGATACTCAGCTCCTGGCCCTGCCTCTTCACTGACCGCTACTAGGTCCTCTCTCTTCCTGTTCCATGAGCAGGGAGAGAGAGAGAGAGTAGCGTTGTTACATAATCGATCATTTCGTTTACTGACTTTCCTACCAATTCTCTTTCCCACTGAAGCTCCTGCAGGAAATTCCTCATACCTGTGTAGTCCCCTCTTTTATAGTTTGGCTTTTCCCGTTCTACTCCTGTTACCCTCTCCACTTGTAACTTGACTATGTATTCAAAGCTCAGAACCACGTGATCACTAGCATGAGGTTTTCCAGTACCACATCCATCATCCTGGCTCTCCATGTTTCGGGACACCCATGTGGCTCCAGGTTTTCCCAATCAATCTCCCTGTGGTTGAAATCGCCCATAATGAGTAACTTTGCTTTACTAGAGTGAGCTTTTCTGGCCACCTCAGCAAGTGTGTCCACCATTGCTCTGTTGCTCTCTTCATATTCCTCTCTTGGTCTCCTGCAGTTCTGTGGCGGGTTATACATCACTGCAATGGCTACCTTATGTCCCCCAGTCTCGTTCATTCCTTCCATTTCCTCAAATCCACATCGGCTTTTAATGAGCAGTGCAACCCCTCCTCCCCCTCTGCTCCTTCTATCTTTCCTCAGGATCTGACATCCGGGTGATATCCGGTTGTATGTGTATATGTTTGAATAACATCCTCACGAGCAGTGCACAAATCAGTGTTCTCACGGAAACATGTGAGTTTAAAGCATTGAAAAATACTGCTGCTAGCCAGATCCCATATCTGGGATCAGGCCGAGTGGAGAAGGTACTACGCCATTTGATGTAGAGTGTTTAGGTTCAAATCCAGCTGTGGACTGAGAGATGTTTGTAAATAATTTCGCCTCTTTGTGAAATGTTAAGCATACATATATATAAGTCGTGCCAAATAGGTAAAATTGGTCATTTAACAATAACTCATTTAAAATTAAGTCCTTTCTAAAATTTTCTCTATACGTTTAAAGATATATTTTTTTCATTTATGTTAAAGTAAAAATTAATAATTTTGTACCAAAAGAACCTTAGAAAACTTACCTAACCTTATTATAACAAGCGCAGTTTAATTTAACCTAATCCAACTAAATATATTTTAGATAAGTTTACAATAATTTAATAATAAACAAACACAATGAAATTTTTTTTTCGTTAGGTTCAGAATGATTTTTGCGAAATTATTGCATGCACAAATTTTCGCTTGTCTTATTCGGCAACAAGAGCGTTCCTGTTTAAGCCAACTCGCAAGTTTTACCTATTCGGCACGACAATATATCGATATATATATATAATATATATATATATATATATATATATATATATATATATATATATATATATATATATATATATATATATATATATATACATATTTTTTAATGAACAAGTTTTGCCCATATACATATGTATATATTTTTATTATTTTTTTTTATTATCACACTGGCCGATTCCCACCAAGGCAGGGTGGCCCGAAAAAGAAAAACTTTCACCATCATTCACTCCATCACTGTCTTGCCAGAAGGGTGCTTTACACTACAGTTTTTAAACTGCAACATTAACACCCCTCCTTCAGAGTGCAGGCACTGTACTTCCCATCTCCAGGACTCAAGTCCGGCCTGCCGGTTTCCTGAATCCCTTCATAAATGTTACTTTGCTCACACTCCAACAGCACGTCAAGTATTAAAAACCATTTGTCTCCATTCACTCCTATCAAACACGCTCACGCATGCCTGCTGGAAGTCCAAGCCCCTCGCACACAAAACCTCCTTTACCCCTCCCTCCAACCCTTCCTAGGCCGACCCCTACCCCGCCTTCCTTCCACTACAGACTGATACACTCTTGAAGTTATTCTGTTTCGCTCCATTCTCTCTACATGTCCGAACCACCTCAACAACCCTTCCTCAGCCCTCTGGACAACAGTTTTGGTAATCCCGCACCTCCTCCTAACTTCCAAACTACGAATTCTCTGCATTATATTCACACCACACATTGCCCTCAGACATGACATCTCCACTGCCTCCAGCCTTCTCCTCGCTGCAACATTCATCACCCATGCTTCACACCCATATAGAGCGTTGGTAAAACTATACTCTCATACATTCCCCTCTTTGCCTCCAAGGACAAAGTTCTCTGTCTCCACAGACTCCTAAGTGCACCACTCACTCTTTTTCCCTCATCAATTCTATGATTCACCTCATCTTTCATAGACCCATCCGCTGACACGTCCACTCCCAAATATCTGAATACGTTCACCTCCTCCATACTCTCTCCCTCCAATCTGATATTCAATCTTTCATCACCTAATCTTTTTTGTTATCCTCATAACCTTACTCTTTCCTGTATTCACCTTTAATTTTCTTCTTTTGCACACCCTACCAAATTCATCACCAATCTCTGCAGCTTCTCTTCAGAATCTCCCAAGAGCACAGTGTCATCAGCAAAGAGCAGCTGTGACAACTCCCACCCTGTTGTGATGTCTTTATCTTTTAACTCCACGCCTCTTGCCAAGACCCTCGCATTTACTTCTCTTACAACCCCATCTATAAATATATTAAACAACCATGGTGACATCACACATCCTTGTCTAAGGCCTACTTTTACTGGGAAAAAATTTCCCTCTTTTCTACATACTCTAACTTGAGCCTCACTATCCTCGTAAAAACTCTTCACTGCTTTCAGTAACCCTACCTCCTACACCATACACTGCAACATCTGCCACATTGCCCCCCTATCCACCCTGTCATACGCCTTTTCCAAATCCATAAATGCCACAAAGACCTCTTTAGCCTTATCTAAATACTGTTCATCTTATATGTTTCACTGTAAACACCTGGTCCACACACCCCCTACCTTTCCTAAAGCCTCCTTGTTCATCTGCTATCCTATTCTCCGTCTACTCTTAATTCTTTCAATTATAAACTCTACCATACACTTTAACCAGGTACCCTCAACAGACTTATCCCCTATAATTTTGCACTCTCTTTTATCCCTTTGCCTTAATACAAAGGAACTATGCATGCCTCTCCTCCAATCCCTAGGTACCTACCCTCTTCCATTACATTTATTTAAATAATTGCACCAAACCACTCCAAAACTATATCCCCAACCTGCCTTTTAACATTCTATCTTTATCCCATCAATCCGTCCTTACACCCCTTCATTTTACCTACTGCCTCACGAACTACCCCACACTCACAACTGGCTCTTCCTCACTCTACAAGATTTATTCCTCCTTGCCCTAACACGAAATCACAGCTTCCATCTTCATCAACATTTAACAATTCCTCAAAATATTCCCTCCATCTTCCAATACCTCTAACTCTCATTTAATAACTCTCCTCTCCATTTTTAACTGACAAATCCATTTGTTCTCTAGGCTTCCTTAACTTGTTTAATCTCACTCCAAAACTTTTTCTTATTTTCAACAAAATTTGTTGATAACAGCTCACCCACTCTCTCATTTGCTCTCTTTTTACATTGCTTCACCACTCTCTTAACCTCTCTCTTTTTCTCCATATACTCTTCCCTCCTTGCATCACTTCTACTTTGTAAAAACTTCTCATATGCTAACTTTTTCTCCTACTACTCTCTTTACATCATCATTCCACCAATCGCTCCTCTTCCCTCCTGCACCCACTTTCCTGTAACCACAAACTTCTGCTGAACACTCTAACACTACATTTTTAAACCTACCCCATTCCTCTTCGACCCCATTGCCTATGCTCTCATTAGCCCATCTATCCTCCAATAGCTGTTTATATCTTACCCTAACTGCCTCCTCTTTTAGTTTATAAACCTTCACCTCTCTCTTCCCTGATGCTTCTGTTCTCCTTGTATCCCATCTACCTTTTACTCTCAGTGTAGCTACAACTAGAAAGTGATCTGATATATCTGTGGCCCCTCGATAAACATGTACATCCTGAAGTCTACTCAACAGTCTTTTATCTACTAATACATAATCCAACAAACTACTGTCATTTCGCCCTACATCATATCGTGTATACTTATTTATCCTCTTTTTCTTAAAATATGTATTACCTATAACTAAACCCTTTCTATACAAAGTTCAATCAAAGGGCTCCCATTATCATTTACACCTGGCACCCCAAACTTACCTACCACACCCTCTCTAAAAGTTTCTCCTACTTTAGCATTCAGGTCCCCTACCACAATTACTCTCTCACTTGGTTCAAAGGCTCCTATACATTCACTTAACATCTCCCAAAATCTCTCTCTCTCCTCTGCATTCCTCTCTTCTCCAGGTGCATACACGCTTATTGTGACCCACTTCTCGCATCCAACCTTTACTTTAATCCACATAATTCT